TTGAACCACAGTCCTAACCCCAAACCCTAAACCCCAAACTCCAAACCCCCCGCGCAGAGGCCCTAAACACTTTCTTTCGGACCAAAGCCCTGGTCCCAAACCCTAAACCCTTCCAGCCTTAGCATAACGCCAAACCCTAAACCTCTTTAGCTTCCAAAAGGCCTCTCAGGCTCTCGAAAACCCTCAGGCTCTCAGCATCAATGCATGCATGCAGAAAATCTCTCTATACGTACATATCGCTTATATATATATATATATTATATACACATATATATATATGTTATATGTATATTTATAAATGTAATGAATATTATTTGAATATATGCGAGCACATAACGAGCACATATTTCTATACATATGTATTCCCATGCATGCTTTGGACGTTGCTGCGTACATACACTTGGGCGTAGGCGTAGGGGCAAATATATTTAAAATTCATTTGCACATTTATTAATGCATGCAAACACATAATGGGAAAGGACATTAAAATGCCCTTATTAGAGTTCTTTTGAACCTTTTTGAGCAACAGCGGCTAAGCCGCGTTCGTCTGCGCGTGGACGTGCGGTGTACGTACACCTCAGCCTTTACCCGTATGCAAAAACCCGCATGCAAAAATAGACCCAAAGAAGCATGCAATTGTGTTTAGAAATGAATTCTAAACATTTATGTATTTATGTCGACCTCTTATGCGTGCATATATATATGTTTGTTCATATTACGTCCAGGTGTACATACACCGCCGTGTCTGTGTACGTATATGCAGCAATATGTACATAAATATGGGTAAATACATATATATATACGTATATATATTATACATATATATATAAATATATATAATATACATAGTATGTGCAAGATCACTGCAAACATGCACGCACTTTCAAATGCATTATGATGCAAACAAGCAGCGACTTGAGGCCCGACAGGGGCAAAGAGAGAAGCAAAAAGCGGGGCAACTTCGGGGCCCCACACTTTGTCTCTTTTGCTTCCCCAGCTGCTGCGCTGCTCTTTCTTTCCAAACTTCTGCTGCAGACCAGCCCTTTGCATGTGTTGTGGGCTCTCGTTCTTCGGGTGTACGTACACCCGGCAGCCCGAAACTCTAAGGCGCATTTACACTTGAGAAACAAAGTGAAGCTCGACGTACACCCCAGTGGGCAGAGCTGTCCGTACACCGCAAACCGCGCACGCCTTTGCAAGTGCAGACACCCGAAACAGCTGTACATACACCTCAAAGTACACCACGGAAACCCCAGAGAAGCCTCACAAAAACCCCGCCGGGGCCCCTCAGGAGCCCCACCGGGCCCCAGTAGGGCCCTCGTGGGGCCCCTGTGGGTCCCCGGGGAGCCCCTGTGGGTCTCCCCTTGGAGCCCCTGGGGGCCCCCTAGGTGTGCGGGGCTAGGAGGCGACGAGGTGGCGCATGCGCGCTGCGACGGCTCTGAACTGGGGGGCGTCTACGGAGGCGACGGTGGGGCCCCCCGGGTGTTCGGGGGCCCCCCAGGGGGCCCCCTGGGTGTTGGCGAGGGTGAAGATCTCGGGGAAAAGGCTGAGGAAACCCAAGAGAGTGTCGTTCCAAGACAAGGCGCAGGAGGGCCCCAGCCCGTACTCCGCGCGCACGTAACGCAGAGGCACTTCCCACTTGGTTGCAAAACGCTGCGGAAGTGCAGCAAACGAACAGGGGCCCTCTTCAGCCAGCAGCGCATGCAGCCCCTGCAGCGTCAGCATCAGCAGACACACTGACGGCGGCAGGTCCAGCAGCAAACTCGGGTCCCCCTGGTACCGCGCCTCCCCTGCGACGCACGCACCAAACCCTAAACCCTAAACCCTAAACCCTCAACCCTGTATCCTCACGCCCTCCAGCCACCAGCCCGGAGGACTACGCCTACAGCCTGTCCGAAACCCGCAAGCCGAAACCCTAAACCCTAAACCCTAAACCCTCGCCCGGGGCTAGCTGGTCCTAGGCGCTGTTGCTGCTGCTGCTCCTGCTGCAAAGGAGCAGCAAATCCTGCTGCAAAAGCTGTAGTTATTCCCCTAAAGAAGAAGCCAGCAAGTGCCTCTTCGCGGCCCCTGGGTGGATCTGACAAAACCCCAAAAAAGCGGAAAAGTCTGCATGCTGCAGCTCTCTTGGGGGCCCCCAGCAGCAGCCCACCTCGTGGTCCAGTGGTCAGGGCGTGGACAGCTGCGGGGTCCGGGTGGGCCCAGGGGGCCTGCGAGGACGACTCCTCCTGCTGCTGCTGCAGCTGCTGCTGCTGCTGCAGCTGCTGCTGCGGGGGGGCTTGCTGCGGGGGCGGCGGGGGCCCCGACGGGGGCTGGGGGAAGGGGAGGGGTCCCCCCGCTTGCCTGTCCGGGGGGGCCCCCCTGGGGTCCTGGGGCGCCGGGTCGTTGGCGCGCTGCTGCTGCAGCGCGAGGGGGCCCCCGGGCGCAGCAGCAGCGGGGTTGGCGGGCAGGCGCGGGGGCCCCCCCCCACCGCTGGGGGCCCCCGGGGCCCCCGCCACTCTGCAGGAACCGTCCAGCGGGTGCACCTCCACGAGGGGCCCCGTGGAGGGCCCCAAACACTGCTGCTTCTCGAAGAATGCATGCGGCGGGTGGCCAGCCCCCGGGGGCCAGCAGTCCCGCACAAGGCCCTCCAACATGTGCTGCAGCCGATGCACTATTTGCAGCTGCTCTTCGGGACTAGGGTTTGGGTTGCGCAGCCTGTCGCTCGTGACCACCAGGTGCAGCGGCTGGTTGTCCCTGCAGCGCCCACAAACCCTCCAGAAACACTCACCAGCAGCAGCAGCAGCAGCAGCAGCAACGCGGCAGCAGCAGCAGACGCAGCAGCAGAAGCTGCAGCGCGTCAAAAGCGGTGAACGCCAGCCAGCAGCAGAAGAGGGGAGCTGAGAAAGCTGTTGCATGCATGCATGCATGCGCGCATGCATGCGTGCATGCATGTATGCGTGCATGCATGCACGCATGCGTCAAGCGGCGGCGAAGGCAGTGCAGCTGGGATGTACAAACAGTGCAGACTATCGGCTTCAGCCTCCCCTCGAGCCTTGGGCTACACCTACAGGTCTGCTGCTGCTCCTAAGCCTATTGCTGCTGCTGCTTGGGCTCTTGCTGCTGCTGCTCCTGAGTTTACTGCCGCTGCGGCTGCTGCTGCTGCTGCCGTTGGGCCAGCAGCAGCAGTACCGCCTGCGGTTTGTTGCGTGTACACGGGCAGCCGATTATTTTGGACTTTTGCTGCGCCGTGTCCGTTACCGCATCTTCTGGCCCCTCATTTCTAATTAATTCTAATGAATTTGGATTAATTCTAATTAGTTTTAATTAGTTTTCATTATTTCTAGCTAAAATAAAACTACTGAAGAGTGTAGCGCTTCGCTGTGCGCTCGTGGCCACTGAGGTGTACGTACACCCGCTACGAAGCAGCAGCAGCAACAGCCCCCAAACATCGACGGCGCTCAACAGCAGCCCCAACGCCCCGTGCATGCATGCAAGCACGCATGCATGCATGCATGCAGGCAAGCATGCACACATGCACGCATGCATGCATGCACGCATGCATGCATGCATGCATGCATGCAGGCATTGCTGGCGTCTCACCTGAATTCGTCATATTCGTGTTTTTTGGTATTTCTGTTGAGCTGTTTGCCGTAAATCTGCACATGGGCCCCCGCGACCCTTTCCATTTCTTTGTGGGTATTTCCGCGGGCCCCCAAAACGGCCTTCACTGCATCTTTCCCAAGAGGATGGAAAGTTGTTGGGACCCAAAGGTCAAACAAAAACTTCCCGCTGCGTCTCCCGGGGCTTCTCTTTGCATGCGCCCCGGCCTCCCCAACGGGGGCCGCCCCGGGGGCCCCGCCGGGGCCGGGGTCACCTCCAGGTGACCTCGCCCCATACCCGGACGCAGGCCTCGAGGGGCCCAGGGGGGCCCCCAGGGGGCCTCCCAGGGGCCCCCCCAGCGGGGCCCCCAGCGGGCCCCCCCCTCCCAGCGGGGCCCCCGGAGGCGCCCCCAGAGGACCCCCAAGCCCGGGCGGCCAGTCCAGTGAGGGGGCCCCCCCCTCCCGTAGGCCCGGCCCAGCGGACCGTCCGGGGGGCCCCGGGGGGCCCCCCCCCACAGGGGGCCCCTGCACCCCCAGGGGGGCCCCCTCGCCCCGGCGGGGCCCCGGGCCCCTGGAGGCCTCTCTGCTCTGAGAAGGCGAAGAGGCCCGCGAGAGAGAAGAGTCCGAACTTGACAAGGAAGACATGGGAGTCAAGACTGCAGGCAGCTCCCCCACAGCCTCTTGGCCGTCGA